GATGTGCGGAGGAGGAAGACAGCTGTGAGGAGGGAAGCGGAGTCATGCGTGTGTGCACACAGCTTAGCAGGAACCTTGGCACCAACAATTCAAGTGATACCCTTATCTAAAAGGCAGTTAATGAACCTGGGGACAGAAAGCTTGGCCTTACTAGTACTTCACAGTAAGCGAGAAGTTGTTTAAACTCAAGCTCTCTCCTTGTTCTGGAAGGGTATTAACAAAATGTGGCCTGGATGTTATGTGTTGGGGGAGGAATTCCTCTATGCTTGTGGAGCAGACTGTGTCCATATCCTGCTTCCAGGAGGCATATTTAGAGTATCTTGGCCTTTTCATGGTGTGTGGGCAGCTGTAGATGCCTCAATGATGGTCCATAATAGGAATTCACCTATTCAGTTCTGTTTCGGGATAGCCAATTTCAAGAAGCATTGCTTATCATTTCATCTGTTGCCAATGCTCCAGTTCAGAGTGCCACTGCTTATGGAATGCAGACAGCACTTCCCTCCTCCAAAGAGTAAGATAGCTGAAGACTTGAAGGAAGTTGGTGGTTTGCTGAAAAGTTAAAAATCCTTACATTTAGTTCTTCCCCATCCCCAAGATGTGGGGACTAAAACAGCCCAGTGAGGACTGAAGATGCCCAGGGAAGATGTTTGTGTGTGTGTGTGGGGGGGGAGAGATGGAAGAAACGGGTTGTATTCAGCATTCTGTATTATGAATTTTGTTCCAAGTCCACCTCATCCGAAACTGCTTTTTAGCTTACTAAGTTGTCTTTCAGCCATTTGGATTTGTTTGGAAAAGGACAGGGATGATTTTTCATTTCTTTTACACTGGATGTCAGACTGGAGTATTTTCTTTCTTTCATTGCAGTAGATGTTGCTTCATGTTTTAGCCCTCAGCATTGTCTGTTGCAATTTCCAATCCTTTCTTAAAAGACTGGCATCTAATTGTACAATTAACTGGATTGAGAGGTGCAAGAAAAGGCATGGAGTGTTCACTAAACCATTTAAAGTTTTAAATGGGTGTGTCACCTTGCCAAAAAGACCTGAACAATCAGAATAGGGTATGCCCAATGAAGTGCGTACAGAAATTCAGAATTTGCTCTTCAGTTTTTTTCTCCATCATCCAGTACTAAAATGAAGCCCATCTATTTTATGCCATGGCATATGTGTCGTGATGTTCATACACTGTACTGTCATCCTTAAATTTAAAAGAATATTCTTGAGAAAATTTAACTAGGAACTCATGGTGCAGGATAGGAAGGCTAACATGGGCAAGACCCTGTGTGATAGTCCTATCTCCAGGTGTAATAAGAGTAGCAGAAAGCCTATTCACAATCTGATCAATACATACCCCTCGTAAACCCATTTAGGATTTGGGTTCCAGTTTGGGCTGCCAAAACAAGCCTCCTAGGTTGTAAATTTGGATGAGCAAGGTATGAGGATTGGAGAGAGGGGAGCAAACTGAAGTCTCCAGGCCCAGGAAAGAGCAAAGCAAGCATCTTAAAAACCAAACAAGAACTGCAGCATATCCTGCTATAAATAGTAGATAGACCAGTTAATTCAAACTTCCAAAGAATTTGCATGAGGTCTACAATGATCTTCAGAAATAACAAATTGTGTGACTTTATCAGTGTAGTGACCACTATTAAGTTGCTGATCTACATGGAAGATGCTTTATGGTTCAAACTAGTAAAAGAAAAAAAGCATTTTTAGAGAAAAGTGGCATTCCCTTTCTGAAACCTGCTTGATCCTATGCTCTCTGTTCTGTCCCTGTTACTTTAATTCATTGTAGGTGTGCACAGATGAAGAATGAAGTTACACACAACATGTGGCCTCCTATACTCTGGTGAAGTATCTCTTAATCACTACTGTATGTAATATTTACATAAAGACTGTGTTGAGGCACAGTATATGACACAAAACATCACAGTGAGTGAAGACTGCACAAGTGACTGGTGTCACTTCTTCTGCTGCTCCTCTACGTTTCCCTTGGCATGCGTGGCTCCCATGGCAGAGCCAGCGAGGTTGAAGAAGCTGCATGTTACCGTGAAAGTGCCATTACTACTGTAGAATGGACCATGACCTTATTTTTGTCCCTCCTCCTCCTCTGTTTCTCATATGATTGAGAACGGTAATGTTAATATGTAGTATTTTTTGAACTTTCTAGGTTCGAAGAAAAACAAGTTAGTGTTATATCAGGCATTCTGGACCTTGATTTTAATCCCCCTTGTTTGTCAAGTGCACTGACTGTGAACTACTTTTTTGTTTTTGTTTTTTATTGGCCAGCTTCAGATTTGTTATGCAAACGCTGATTGATGAAATTCTAAAGCTTTTTCTCAATAAATGGTTTATTTTAGGATGTCTTTTATTCCTTATTTCTTTGCTGAAGCGAAATATGTTGTAATCTGAGGGGTGTGACTTTTACACCCACCTGCTTTTTGGGAAACAGTCTTGATGGGCTCATTGCTCTAGATGAACCGTAAAACACCGCTAGGCCCACTTCTCCCCTTGATGTCAACTGAGAAGGTAAGTTGCACCTTCAGGATTTGTTCACATGTGACTTACTTCCAACATACCTTTACTGGTGAGACGGCACTGAAATGTAACCCCCATGCTCATATTGACGGATATGCAGTTAGATCCATTGGAAGTTGCACCTTCAGGATTTGTTCACATGTCACTTGCTTCCAACATACATTTACTGCTGAGACGGCACTGAAATGTAACCCCCACGCTCAGTTGTGACGGATATGCAGTTAGATCCATTGACTCAATGTTATTTAAGACCACGTACTGTAGCCTCTTTCCAGCAGTTTGCAGACAAGTGTGTGCATCCACTTAAAAATGTCCACTTTAATTCTTGAATGACAGTTTTTCTTGTGCGATACTACTCACTTTCACTCAGACGCTACAGTTCTAGGCACAAGAAATAAGTGCCTCACCCATATTGGTGGGATTGCTCAAAGACAGGCTCTGAATTTAATGTCATAGAGATTGTGGATCTGCCCAGAACTCCCTGAGAAAACAATGCCTTTTTATCTGAACTCAGCCTAAATATGAAATGCATTCCTTTGCATGATTGTAAACTTTGGATGACCGTGTAGTCTTCAGGAGGATAAGGGTGTCTGAAAATAATCACACTGTAATGAAATTTTCACACAAGCAGGTTGTCACACAATTATAGTGATTGCATTGATCATTAAATGAGTTATATGAACTTGCCTATGTGATATGATGCATAATTAGTCATCATCTCCAAAAACATTCCCACAAATCCAACAAACTGCAAGTAGCAGAGTAGGATATGATAACTTGTTACAGTGGATCAATCAGAATGGTTCATTTGTATGGAGTCAACATTTTTAATGTTATATACTTATAGCTATAAGATTGGGTGAATTTTAAAAATAAATTCCAAAAAGGTGCAGTAGAACTTCCCTCTCCACTGGGAATCAGTTCCACAATCTACCTGAAACTAGGGACACGAGGGAACCTTATATATAAATCCACTGGGAATCAGTTCCACAATCTACCTAAAACTAGGGACACAAGGGAACCTTGTATATAAAACATACAAAGGTGCAGGACAAAGGCCACAAAGGGGAGCCCTTGTATGTTTTATATAGGGTTGTGGCAAACTGTGGAGAAATGAAACCACAGATATTGATCCTGAAGATACGAGGCTCCTACTGATTTCTAGCTTGTAACATACCTGTTTGAAGTCACAAGTTCATGTATTTTAATAGAAATTACAAATTGGACATTCGCTATTTTACCTTGTCTTTATTTTTATATAAACAATGTTACTTTTAAGGCAATTTTTATAACATACAGCTGCTCATGGGGAGTAAACACTGCTACTTAACAAAATATGGAATTGTTTAATACGTCAAACTAGAGTTAAATTTTTTCATTTTATTTTGGGAAGTTGTCTTTCACTGATAGATCTCTTAACTGTCCCAAGATGTAGGTCCAAATTTTATCAAAATTTTCACAGTGACAAAATAGACTATCAGTCTAGAATTGGTTGTGCTTCTAACTCTCAGTTCAGTTGAAGGGAATTGGAGAGGGTGTACGGAATGACGATTCAGGCAGGAAAACTTTCCTATCTTTTCTAATTACATATTCTGAAGAGATAGTCCAGAGGAGCCACTCATTGCTTCTTTTTAAAATCTCAGGTCTAAAGTTAGATTCATATTCATGCTGGTTGGGAAACTACCTTAAGTGAATGAAAAAAACAAAAACAGCATGACAAGAATGTCCACAGCAGAGGGACCTGTGCCAATGTCTTCATCTCTGGAGGCTTGGAAGGAAGATGGTGGGAGAGAATCTTTTAAATGTTTCAGAATATATTCTGCTATTGCTTTACACAGATCCTGTGAGTAGTCACTGAAGAACAGCATCTGTTTGGACAAGCAGAGCTGCCCTCTTGTGTGTGTGTGTTTGAAATGCTATTGCTACTGCCATTCATTAAAAGAATCTAAAAGTGCCTTACAGATTTTTAATTTAAAAAATAATATATAAATGAAAATGTACCAGCCTTCTTTTCCCTCTCTTTATCCCTCCATCTCCCCATCTGCTGTGAAGATACAGGGGGAATCAATGCCACCAATGGTGTTCCTTCAATAGACAAACGAGGCCCTATTGGATTTCAGTCACAATGATATTTGACTCCCATCTTGCATTTACAAGAGTTCTCAGCTTAGTGTAATAAGAAATTCATATGGAATTTAATGAGGGCACTTGCTAAGTTTAACTTCATTTGCTACTTCTGTGCTTTAGAAATAGTACACAGTCACTAAATACCTCAGGAAGTAGCACAATGCTATCTTTTTTCCTGTGACATGCCTTAAATAGTTGCACAGTGAGCAGCAAACGTTTCCCTAGCTTTGATCACTACAGGCTGTAGGGAAGGAGTTGCCTATTGAAAATGCTTCTCCATGAAAATTCATAGATTAAGCAGCCTGACATGATAATTTAAAAAGTCTAAACCACACTGCCTATTGAAAATGCTTCTCCATGAAAATACTTTCATAGATTAAGATCCTGCAGCCTGACATGATAATTTAAAAAACCACATGTTCATCCCAAACATTCTGAATAGCAATATATGATTAAAACAGTAAGAACCAGAATATAACATTTTATGAGGTACAGTGGGGCTGTAGGGAAGGAGTTGCCTATTGAAAATGCTTCTCCATGAAAATACTTTCATAGATTAAGATCCTGCAGCCTGACATGATAATTTAAAAAACCACATGTTCATCCCAAACATTCTGAATAGCAATATATGATTAAAATAGTAAGAACCAGAATATAACATTTTATGAGGTAATCAAAACAGTTCAACCTGCTAAAACATTACACAATAGTTTAAAAGCCTGGGCAAATGTTCAGCCAGCAACTAAAGGAATACAGTGCACTAGCAACGTCCCTTGGATGGTGTGCCCAAGCTGGGGCACTGGCACTGAAAAGGCCCTTCCATTCCTTTCACATGTGTATCAAATTGTTTATATAGATAAACTTGGAGAAGGCCCTTCACAGATGATGAACTTCATATAGGGCAAGTACATACAGGACAATGGTTATAAGCCCCTCTGTGGAGCTGAGAGCACAGGAAACAAGCATCTTAACTTCCAGCTGTAATTATCTTGAATAACCAACAGTTTTGCTGCTTATAGAAGTGGTTGAGCCATAGGTAGATAGCAAGTTCAGTCTCACTCTTTTCTTGATATGAAGAATAATGACAGGTAGTGGTTGTGATTTAAGAATAGCTGGTCTTAGCTTTAACCATGTGCAATTGCTTGTAATATGTAGCTAAATTGGCAGTAGACTCTCTGATGTTAACAGTGTATCTAAACAGTGGCCATTTAGTTCATAGAACTGTCTAATAAGTAGCAGCATTAGTAACTGCTGTGTCATTCTCTCCAAAGTCAGCTCAACATCTATGTGAAAACATGACTCAGTGGATCAGTTAGTGCACAGCTGCTTTACAGCAAGGACTTAAAATACAAATCTTTTTATTCTGACACATTTTAGACGGAAAAAAATGAAAAAATTTTGTGTCAATGTTTTCTCATCTCCACTGCCTTTTAGCTGTGAAACAAGAAAGTAAATGTGGCTTGAGTGCCTGATTTTTGGGCCAGGGGGTATGAAAATACTGGTCTAAACAATGTAAATGTGCAATTTATTTGACATCAAGAAGCTGCAACTTCCACCTCCCACCTTCCCAAAACCTCCAGACCTCTTGGTTTTATTTAAAATGCAGGATAATGGCGGCAGTCCTGAAATCATTGGACAAGATAGGCTCTTCAGTGATCGAGCATCAGCACCTTCCCATATGTAAAATTATAAATCTAAAAGAGAGTCAGGAAAATGTGATTCTATATGACTATCAGGAACCCAGCCTGACCAGTACTGTAGAATCTAGTTGATTTCATGCAGCACTGTGCTTGCTCCATCCCACAGCTTAAAAAAATCTGTTGATGCTATACTACAATTTACCAAGTGATAGGCTTACACATACACTGAACATAACACTAGGATCCATTGTTTGCAAAAGTAGCAGCATTAGTAATTGCCTTTAGAGTCATTCGTGTTACTGACCCATCAAACACTAGTTATAATTTCTTGATGACAAAATAACTTGACATTTGACTGAAGAGCTGTACAGAAGAACCACACTATACTGAGACATCACCCACAAAATTTTGAGAACCTTCACTTACAAAACTGATGTCCCTTTTAAGGTTATTAAAAGTCAATCAGATGCACTAGCTCACTGCCACACCCACAATTTGTATATACTCAACCTTTAGGTGAAAATTGCTTGCAGGATGGCATCCTCTATTAATGTTATTTTGTTTCAGATGACTTTAACAGAGAACTCTGTGATACCAAATAGGACTGTGTCCTAATTTTTAAACAAGGCTCCTAATGTTGTAATAGACATGAGGAAGGCTAGCCAGGAGTATAAAAATCAGTTCAACTTGCAAGCATGAGAGGACCCCATCTGATGAAATGCTCAGTCACAGGGAATGTGTGAAAGTAAATAGCCAGATGGGTGAATTACAGCACCTGAGACTTCAGCAGCAAAGGGAGGGCACAGCATTGGATCGCCTCCCCCTTGTTTTTTTGGTCTTACCTATTGAAACTTTCCAACTAACAAACAAAAAAGGAACAGAGCAGAGGTGTGAAGACTATCAATGGAGCAGAGTTTGACCAGTCATATATGCTTGGTGCACTAAAGCAATCTGAATGCTAACTTGGAGAAGCCAAGAGACACAGAGATGTTGGGATACGAGACCTTAGGGATGGGACAGTGGTGTCCCAGGCCTCTGGAGAAAGCTCTTCAGCTGCCACAGAAGTCTAGAGGAAGACAGGGTTCCTTACATGAAACAAAGATGTGATTTTTCAGAAGAGGCTCCTCCAATTTTTATGGACATTGTCTTTCACACATGCCCACAGAGTTCCTATTATTATGTTGACCATTAGAAATCTTGTATTGAGGCATGTGTGTAGACAGCATGGAGACAAAGATGATGATGTCATGTTTAGATAGGCTCTGCTGGGAAGGAGACAGTAGTCACAGTTCATACAAGCACCAAAGACGAGATTCTGGAAGCAAACTTTAGATTGATAGGTAGGAAACGGAAATCTCTCATGCTGGAGGGTTTGTTTCTAATACAGGTTTTCCCTCAAAAGTTATTTGCTCTATGTGCAGGGCCATCAAGATATATGGAGCTGTTGTCAGTCTATGGCGATTTGCTGGCAGCAATGAATCATTCAGATTAGAAGATAGCTATCTGCTTCCGGCAAATTGGGAGAAAATACGATTAAATATAACGTTATCACACAAAGCTACAGACAAATCAACATGGCTTTTTAAAAGAAAACCCCTATTAATCTTTTATGATCCTTTGGTAGTAAGTGTTACGAAGCATATAGATGGGCAATAATTCAGTAGTCTATTCCCTACTTACACTTTCACAATGCTACTATGAACAAAGTCCCTTGTCAATAACTTCTGCACAGACTTTGCCATAATGGGACTAAGTCCTCTTCTGGATTAGCAAGTGGTTAAACAAAAGCAGGGGAAAAGCAGACATAGATAATTCTTACTAAATGGATTTAAGGAGTGCATTCTCACAAAGGTCTGTATTCTAACTGGCACTTTTGAAAATAAGAACAGGAGCTGAGCAGTCAAGGTGGTCAAATCTGCAAATGATATTGTGTTATTCAGGACAGTTAAAAGGGGGTGGGCTATGGAGAGCTCCAAAAAGAATCTCCCCAAAATGACTGAATAGACACTACTATAGCAAATGCTGCTCAACATATAAAGCCAAACAATTCAGACAAAACACTCCTAAATTCAACATATACAACAAAGGGGCTTGAGCTGGTAGGGCCTGACCAAGGCAGACAATTTGGGGTCATAGCAGACAACGCAATGAAAATGATATCCCAGGATGTTTTCAGTCCTGCAAAAGGCAAAATCCATACTAGGGGTTGCTAGGAAAGGGAATAAGGATAAAACTGAACTTAGGTGTCCAGCAATGAGAAACCCATGAGAAATTGCAGCAGGGACTCTTACCTAAGTAGCAAAGATCTGTCACTGCTGTTACACCACTTCACTATGCAAGAAGATTCTATCCTATTATATTTTACAGAAATCTATAGGATGACTGCTCCTAGAATACTATAAGGATTTGAAAAAAAGGGCAACCCAAACAATTAGGACTGAAGAATTTCCACTACAAAGAAAGGTTCAATATTTGGATCTGTCCTGGTTTTAAAAAAATAAATATAGGATATAATTATAAAAATATGTGTACTGGAAGGAGAATTTTTCTCCATCTCCTAGCATTAGATCCAAAGGTGATCCAATGAACTTGAATTAAAGTTGAGAGGCAGAACAAATAACAGGAAGTGTAGTACTTCACATAGTGCATAATTAACTATAAAAACTTCTTCCAAATGATGTCCTAATAGCTGTCTATTTGTGTATTTGTGTAGCAATAAAAGGGGATTCAGGAGAATCATGAGCAGGCCAAGCTATCAATGGTTACCACTCATAATGGCTTTGTATTATTTCCAGGATCATGGGAATCATGCCTCCTCCCCAGTGCCACTTGCTAGGGTACATGAGCAAAAAGGGGCCTTCAGGTCCAGCTTGTAGGCTTCGCAGAGGCATCTGGCTGGCCATTCTAAAAAGAGAATGCTGAAGCAAAGAGGCCTTTACACCAACTGGGTGGTCTCGTCTAAAACTTTTAGCCATTTTGTATGAAAGCAGATTTTATTATCATAAATCCACCTGGGATGGGGGGAGAGAAGAATCTCTTCCTTTAGATGCTTCCTTGCTATATGGTCTGTGTGTTTCCTGTTCCTTAATCTTAAAGAAACATAGTCTGTGAAAAACCAGGCAGGGAAAGAGTGATAGAATCATTTTCAAAACGTCCCCAGGAGTGGGTGGGTGGGTGAGGGACAGAGGGAGAGAAGAGTATGAATGCAGCAAAAGTATGGCCATCTCTCCATTAATCTTCTTTGTCCTCATGTCTGAAGGAGAATGATACGCACAACAGTTCACAGCAGGTGTGTGTTCCCTCTGGATATGAAGCAGTCTTTGGAGAGTTCACTTCCATTTTCCCTTGTGACCATGGTTGCCATAAGTTGAACCTTTATTAATTTCTGTAACTCCTATCATCCATCGAACACCAGCTGAAGCTGAAACAAGAATAAAATTAGGATATATTGAGGTTAAACCCCCTCCAAGAAAGAACTGCAAATAGCAAATCTCCTTTCAACACTGGGTTGAACTTAATACAAAAATTAAAATACCATGCCAAAACAAAATACAAAGAGCATAACTGAGTCTTTTGCAAAGTCAAGTAACAAAGACAATTTCCAGAGATTTTATGGCAGACCAACTAGTGACGTAGGGCAAAACAATCCAAGAACAGAAGTAAAACATTGCCAGTTGTCAATTATTCTGATGCCTAAGAATGAATATTAACCATTTTGTTATCTCACTATTCCTAATCAAATATGTATAAAGCTACCCAAAGGCTGAATTTATTCCCCAATACCTAACTTCCAATCTAAGCCTCAAGTCTTCGGCAAAAAGCATCACATGCCAATGAACTTCCAGAAACAGGAGGACAAAGGATAGTTGTTAGAAGATACCAACAGTGCAAAGCTGTATTTGTCTACTCACTCTCAATTAAATGGGCACAAGGTAGCAGCTTTTTGTAATTGGCTCCTGATTTAAAACATGAATGACTGCTGAGAGATAACATTCTGGGAAAAATAAATGGACAACAATGCCAGGTATGGTTCTACAACATTCAATGGAGTGCGGAAAAAACACTTTCCTACCGTGAAGTTGCAAAGACTTTACATGCCATCTTCATTTTTATTACTTTATGTTAAAAACTCTCTTCAGTAGACCCACACTATGAGATCTGTTATGGACATGATGAGTAACCTTTCCTCCTGTTGTGTGACTGATCGTCAGAGAACCTGACAGCACAATGTTTAATTATATAATTCAACCAAAAATGTTTTTTTTAAAAATGCTTGAAATGGCATAGTACATGGATCATAAATACTACTGCCGTACATACACATACCCAAAATAATATTCATTTGTTTTGAAATCAGTCAGCAGAAGCTGCAGACCACAGAAAACTTATTGAGCAGACTCAGGAAGATGACCCAGTGGCCCAGGTTCTCTGATCTTACTAGCTTCATAAGAGGTCATGCATGACACAGCATTTCCAAATCAGAAGAACTGACCATCAGTAGTAGCACAGAATAAAAATAAGCAGCTCCACACAAGACGATGAAAGGGGGCTTGATTGGCATATCTACTTGAACAACAAACTTCTGAACAGAGGAATGAATGGCTCTAGCTTAATTTCTTCAAACCAACGCCTTGTACAGAAAGAACAGATCATGCTGTTAGTCCCAGCTAGAGCTGACCTGTTTCATGGGTTTACTCCAGTTGAGACCAACCTTGGATCTAGGCTATATAAAGTAGCTTAAGATAAATTGCTATGTGTCGTCAAGTCAGAACTGAGTTATAGCTACTCTAATAGGGCTTTCAAGGTAAGTGAGATATTTAAGGAGTGGTTTTACCAGTTCCACACCCCCAGTGAGCTTCCATAGCTGAGTGGGATTTGGCCCCAGGCCTCCTGAGTCCTAGTCCATCACTTTATCCAGTAAACCACACTAGTATAATTAAGCCATATGCCACATAGTTGCTCCTGGAGATGTAGCAATGGGCCATGTAAAATCTCTTTTGACTAGTCAATCTGTGATGGATTCAGAAATTAGCTTTGATACCTGTATATGATAGCCATTGATGCAACAGCTGGCAAGAATCATCATAACTAAAAGAATCAGAAACCTAGACCACAATCAATAATGCCATGCATTTTAAAGTAACCTGCCTACAGTGAAAATTAATGGAATTTTAAAACATTTAATGGCCAAAATCCTGCTCCTTTGCATAGTAAATCACACTAGAGTAAGCCCACTGTTGATTTATAATCTCTCTGACAAGATCTTTAAATAATAAACAAATAATACAATCCAACAAAGGATCAGACAAATGTAAGTGACAGGGACACTGAGGGCTGCACATCAACTCTAACAGCTATTGTGCTCTTGTTCTAAGTTTGCATGTCCCATATTGTGATCACAGACATTTAAAAAAGAAACCCATGCTATACACGCCATGCCAGCCAATCTCTTTACTGCATGGGATTGTTCTCATGCCTTTCTGTATGGCTTAAAATACAGTAGAGGACTTCAATGTGGGGCAATGCCTTGGACTCACTTAAACTCTGAGGATCTAAAATCTATCAATCCAGGGACATGAGGGTAAAGTACAGGTCACCCACCAAAACACCTTCTTCATTATTTGTTATGCTACTGAGGTGGGAAATGCAAGAAAGTTGTTAATGTACTTGAGTTACACAGTAAACATAGAGGGGAAAAAGGAGTTCTTTATGCCTGTTATAGAACATTTTTTTAAAAGGATAATAGAAAAAAAATCAAGTCAAGGAACAGCTTATAATTCAGCCACTGTACTGCACCCAGGCACTCTAAATTCTCCCAAAGCATAGCAGCATCAACATCTCCTTTGTGCCTGAGATAGTGGCCATTCTGGGAAAAGCGAGTGATGATGCAATGTTGAAGACACTGGTATTGCTTAAATGTCTTTCTCTTAGTGGATTCCCATACCAGCAAAAGTGAAATGATGAAGAGTATTGCTGCAGCACACATAAATATCTCTGTTGTCTGGTTTCCAGTCTGTAACGTGGCTCTAGCCAAGTCTGTTCCAGCCACCTACTACAGATATGCTAGGCATGGAATAGCTACAGCATGCTTGAATTTTACAACTTACAAATGTGCACAGATGACATCCCCAGGATCAATAAATAATTCTACTTCAAAGGAAAAAAACACAGCAAAATAAATCAGGAATATTCATAGTCCATAGCATTTTATACATAGAATTGAATTCCTATTTTTTAACATTTCATTTTAAAGATATTAATCAGAATTTTGGTAGCAGCTTTGCATAGAAAAAGGTAAAATCACACATTCAACCCTCATAACAACAGGTTGCTTAGCTGTAACTGCATTTCTTTGAGTGTTCTCTGTGAATTCACACATGTGGGTTCTTCTGCGCCTGTACAGGCATCCTCAGAATCCTCCAGAGCCTAAAAAGCTGTTAGCCCAACCCTCTCACATAGTGCATAATCTACCTTTCAACGGCTATTGCTCAGTTCCCATGTCTGTTACCGACTTTAGCATCCATGTGGCAAACAGAGGGGTGGTATGGTGGGTTGTGTGAATTCACAGATGACCACTCAAATAACAACGGTTACAGTTAAGTAACCTGTCCTCCTCTTTGGGGGTCTCTGTGATTCACACATATGGGTGACTGAGAAGCTCACCAGCTGGTGGGATATCACACCAACACTGAATGCAGAATCAGAGAATAATGAAGTTAGAAGGCTCCCTTGCTCAATGAAAGAATCCAAATCAAAGTATATCTGAGAGGTATTACAGAAAGATCAAAAAATGCATCAAGCTTTGCCCTGACATCCAGTCTATAATGCTTAACAAACATTATAGGCTGAGACCGTCACTGCCTTACAGCTTTCTTCCAGCTGGACTACTTTCAGAAAAGCTGTTGAAGCAGCATCTGCTCTAGTGAAGTGCCATCTTAAAGAATTTGGCAGACGTTTCCTTACTCCTAGCATCTCCAACTTGTTGATGTGAAGCTTCTTTTGTTCTTAGGACCACAAGGCATGAATTTGTTTGTCTCAGCAATGGGCACTTCAGGCTGTTGAACTGGCATCAATTGTTAGAAGAACAGAAGGCTGAAGTTGGCTGAAAGGTTTTCTCATTGATAACTTTTCTGCTTTCATCCGGCAAATAAGTTGATCTGCAAGTTCTAATGTTACCATGAGCCTCTTCTGATTGTTTTCTTTCACGCTGTTGAACAAAGACAGGAACCAACCCTAAAGCGACCTCTTATCCAGCCTGGCAGGAGAAATTACTCCGGTGGTGGATGCCATGTAACCCAGCAGCTTTTAGGACGTGTGAGCTGTCTCTGCAAGAAACTCCCCTGCCAAAGACACTATCTTTTCTATTCTGTCATGAGGCAAGCATGCCTTTCCTGATTTTGAATTTAAAACTGTTCCGATGTAATGGGTCACGCTCGTTGGTCGTAATTTTGATTTTTTTACAATTTACACAAAATCAAAGATTCAACAGAAGAATCCATAGGCATGAATCACAGAAACCATGAAGAATATCCAATCCCACGCCTATTATTCTAATTTCCTTAGGGACTTTTGGCTGCTAAGTGAGCTCAAATATTTTCACTTACTAGCTTCAAGCCTTCTTCAAGGTCCTTAAGCAATAGTCACCTAGCAGTGTCCTAGAAAGAAGGAGGGGAGAGAAAGAGAAAGAAAAGCACAGACACATCCCCCAGCTCACAGAAACACATGCACAATTCAATCAAAGATGCATGCTCATGCTGTTATCTAAATGACATTCTACAGAGGCAGATTTTATTGCCAGAGTTGAAAAAAGAGTTTGAGCTAAATATAGCCTGGTGGTTAGAGCAAAATAGTATCTAATAGGTACCACTGCTTACCCCACAAATTGCTAATCCAAATTCCCTATAATCTGGTATTTCAGAAAGCTGAGGCACAAGAAAGTTACTACAAGGCAAAAATAACACAGTGATCTGGGAGGCTTGTTTGTGAGGACCCCTTCCGAGCCATGCTTCTGCCTTTCCCCTTCTCATATAGCCACATCTTCTATCAGAACAATGAAGGTCCATTTAGTGCTTTTATGACTCACCGATTCCACTGATTTCAACTCGACTTTGTCATAATCAACCTTAGACGCATTGCACTATAGACATTACTAAGAAAAGAAGAGCTTCTATGGTTCCTTTAAATGTCAGACTAACCAATTAAAGGGGTCAGCAAACCTTTAAAAACCTAATCTGAAAGAATATAAAATTACATCATGGTCATTATGCTGGAAAAATCCCATTACTTACTGGCAGACTGCACAATATTACAGAGAAAATGTTCACTACTGGGGGGAAATACAGTGAAAATCTAAAGATCACCAAATCTACATACATTATAGTTTGAGATGACTAAACTGTATAAAACACAACAGGGAAGTAA